GTGCCCGGGCGGTGTGGGGGCCCTCGGCCGGCGGGTCGGGGGGGCTGACACGGCAGCTGAGGGTGCGAGGTACAAGCTCCGGGGTAGGCCGCGGCGAGGGCTTGCTCTGAGGGAGTCTGCTACCTGGGCAGGCTTGCAGGCGGCGGGCGGTTTCCGAGGTCTGCCTGGGAAGCCTTGGTTTCTCCAGAGTCAGAGGAATATGGGAGGCAATTCTGTCAAAGTAGAGCACCTTACAAGAGGAAAGGGAGTAATGTTTACACAGGTTAGAAACGGGTTTACTTTCACGCTTTTCACTTCTGAATCTAGCTTTTGTTGGTTTAATTTAAAAGCACATCAATAGTATGCCCCCTGGGCTTACTTTACTAAGTGATGCTTCTGCAGCAGGAGTTAGAATCTAGTTTCTTCTTTAAAAATAAAGTATAAGCATTAACTGATTTAAAATAGTTACTGTGCTAGTCTCCAAGGTTATTTAGTTTCTTTGGTTGCTTCTTTTGGAGAGCCTAAATCAGCCAGCTTTTCTCTCTTTTAAAAGTAACGATGCATTTAAAACAGCTGATTAAAAGTATGTTACCTCACATGAAGACTCAGGTTAAACAACATTTGTGACCTGGCTTAAAGAGCTGGCTTAAAGAGAAACCCAGGCTTCAGATCAGTTTGTCAAAAGATGTTTTAAACCTCAAATTGTCGATAGTATCACTTGAACAACGACACAGAGTCAATCTTCAATTTTGCTTGCATTTTGCAGTGTTATGGGAAATAAGAGTGCCAAGCTCGCACAGTTCTTCTCAATTTAGTTAGTTTGAGGAGCATTAAAAAATTATGAAGGAAGTTTTGCAGAAGAAAAACTTGATGGGGATCTGATTTTGTGCAGCTTGCAAAATTCATGCTTATAGTTTCCAAAAAGAGTGTTTAAAGTTTGGCTAATTCATCTTCATGTAGTAGAGCGATGCTGCCTACTTAATTTTCAGTAAACTGATGTTGTAAAGGGACAAATTATTAAACTAAGGTTCCAACCAAGACTCAGTGTTGGACTGTCACTGGCAGAAACCATTTTGCCACAGGCTCGGTGTTTCCTGTAGGTCTAAGAGTGGATGTTGACTTAACAATAATTGGCAGATGGATATGATCATGTCAAGGAAATGGGTACATTTTGATGTCTAATTAGAGTTCAGTGATGCTTAAAAAAGCATAAAAATTCTGTTCTTCAGGTGTTAAACATTAACTTCTCTTCAGGGAAGTGGATCCTGTTGCTAATTGTTTCTGAAAGTGAAATCAAACACCTCCAAATCAATATATATCAGCTTCTGGAAGAATTGATATCCTGTCCAAATAGTTAAGACTTGTATTGATTATTCAGGCTCTCAATTGTTCCTCTCTGCAGTAGTTTATAGATCCTGCCAAGCTAGGTGGAACAGAGTAGATGCTATCAAGAGCAATCTTCTTTGTGTAATTTTTTAGGATGTGGAAAACAAGGGGGTTACCAGTGACCTTGAAGTCAAAGTAGAAGCATAACACCTTAACTATTAACAATAGTGAATTTCAAATGGTGCAGTAGTTTAGCTTTTACTCTGCTCTCTGGATCCAAGAAGTATGTTAGAAGGTTTTTTGCTTTTATTTTGCAGTCTTTATAAGACTTGACTAAATCCTTCAAATCATTTTGTATGTGAGGTTTTTGATGCTCTATGTTTTTTGGTGCTAATGGCATTCATTTTTTTAAGCACTTATGCCACCATCATCCTGCTGCTTTGTTCCCTAATAACGTATTCCCCTGTTTTCCTGCGGAATCCCTAACTCCTGCAATAATATCTCTGCTTTTTAAAACCTCACTGCTAAGCCAGCCACATCCAAATATGCTTAAGTTTATTGGGTTGTTGATCTCGCCTCTGCCTTACCACTGTGGGTCTCAAATAGCTGCTGTTTCATTGAGTAGACTTCCATTTTTAACCATTAAGGTTCCTTCTGTCACCACATTACTGCCACAGTACTCCTTGAGAGTAGTCTGCTGTTATGGGATCCCTCACCTGGTGTTTTGTACGGATACAAAATACTCAAACTTCAAGCAGCTTATTATCAGTGCCAACAGAACAAGTTTTGTAAATATGACTTGACGAAATTATCTCATAAGTCTTTGAAGTGAGTGGTAGAAATGTTAATTTTTCAGACTAATGCAGGAAGCATGAGAATTTTTTAAGTTTTAAAAAACTTCAGAAAATTAGGGGAAGGTAACTTTTTTTCTCTTCCTTTAGTATCTCATAGTTATGAGAAGCTGCCCAATATGTATCTAGAGCCACTATTTATTATAGATGAAATCTAGTCCCAGTTTGATAGTTAGGACTTCCAGAATTAATAACAGGTTGGTTTTCTTCATTCTGCTATTTTACCTCCTTTCGCCATGTTTCCTCTAATACTAAATATTTTTTCTTTGTTTTCTTATCCGTGTCTGGGAACTATGTTGGAAAACCAGTGTAACTCATGAATGGGCAGAGTTTGAAAAACAAGTTCTGGCTGTATTTGAAATGCTTTTTTTTTTTTTTTTTTTTTTTTAAAAGTCTTTCCCCTGACAGAACTAAGTTGTGACAGAAAAATAGCCCTGAACAGAACTGTTCTCTATTAATTCTCAATTATTTTATCTGGAGCTGGGACAAACTGTCAATGTCATTCTTCTAAACCAAAAGGACCCTTTTTTTTTTTTTTCAATTTTGTATGTATCACTGACTTGGCAAAGTTCTAACCTGTAAGAGTAAACACACTTATAGATAAGCTTATAGCTATAATTCTTTCCGTCTCTTAATCATTTGTGACTTGCTGACTGGGTTAGGCAGGAGCAGAAACAAATGACAAATGGTGTCTCTTATTTGCTATAGAAAAGGTAAGGTGGTACTGTGGGTGGTTCTGCACAGCAGACATTTATCTCTGTTTCAGCTGTAAACTGTTATATTACTTTAGGGATTCTTTAAAAGGGAAGCTGTAAGTAGCCAACCCACTTGCTCTGTGATACAAGGGACAAAAAAAGATGTTTGAGCCAGGAATCTCTTAAAATATTCTGCTGTTTTGCTGCCAGAGATAAAGCACTGTTAAAACAGTATTGCCTTAGTGAGTCTGATTCTAGAGGGCAGAAGATAAGACAATTGCATGACTTTTCTTAGGCAAGAAAATGGAATTAAGCTGTTATATTCTTCTGTTCACAGAGATTTGAACCTTGTTTTCAGGGCAGGAGAAACTGGACATGAGGAAAAACACCATGAGGCTTCTCTGTACTTCACTTTCTCTTACCATGATTTGCTGGCTAGCTGAAGGTACCCTGTCAAAAACTGATACAAAGAAAAGTGCTACAAAAAAGCCTGAAGAAAAGGTACGAGAAATAACTGAAATGCTCATCTTATCAGACGTGTGCCATGAACTAACTGAATTTTGGTAACTGGACTCTCATTCTGTCAAAAAGAGTGTTAAAAGCAGCCATCCGTTTCCATTGAAACATATGCTCACAAATAAGACTACCTGAAACTGTCCTGTCCTTCAGCTTTTGTGGGTGTCACCAATGGTTCACTCTGAATCAATATGATGTAGGCTTCTGGAGTTTTATCCCCCATGCAAGCGGCAGAAGCAGGAAGTTTTTGTCCCCTCTTGCATAGCTAAAGGAGAAATACATCCCTTTGGAAATGGGGGCGGGGAGCAGTAGTTTGACCCAAGAGTGCTAGGTCGTAGGAAGGGAAGGTGTTCTCAGACTTGCCAATGGGAAGGCTGTATCCTGATAGAACAGTTTGAATAATTTTCTAACCAGCAGTTCCTTTTCAGGCAGAATGATTCAGAGTCCCGTAACAATCTGAGCAAGCAAAACCAACATGCTGAAATCACTTTTAACTTGCTGAGCATGTTCTTGTTTTCTGCCTGTTTTCTTTCAAAACTGCAAGAAGACACAGCAGTACAAGAGAAAGGGTGCGTATGGAGAGGAAGTATATTTACTAGTGCATATACCAAGTATATGTACTTAGTGTTGCGAAGCATGTTAGGTAAAAAAGTAGACATGTTCAAAATCCTCTCCCTAAATTATAAGTGTAGTTAATCCTTCATTATGCAAATATGTCTCTCATTGTTTGTATTGCTTGCTTGCTCAACATCTACCAGGAAGAAAATCTAGTCTGCAGGTAGTGAGGATAATACAAAGAGTTAAGAAAGGCCTTATTGCTGAAGTTCATGTGCTGAATCAATAGATGATTTCTGTGTACTCATCACGCACGCTTTATTAGGCCTTCGCACTCTGTTTCTGTCTGCTAAAACTACCTGTGCTGTTCTAGTTGAAGCAGATCTTCCTTAAAGAAAGGTGTTCAGAATCTTGGCCTTCAGTAACCACAATGCAGCATACTCAATCTAAAATATATCCAAATTAAAGGTAATCTTCAAACTCTTGGTTAAGAACTCCTAGCCCCTTTTTATCATTTTGGGTGTAACATGCCAGAAGGCATTGACTAGAGAGAAGAGCACTATCAGCTGTGGTGAATAATGTTCTTTAATCTTATCACTTCTTGATTTTTTTATATGCTTTTTGCCTTGCAAAGTAATTTTTCTGATGATGACAAATCATTTCTGAGCACATCCCTGTTTCAGTTTTAAATGAAACTGCTCTGCATCATTTAAAAGGAGTGCTCAGAATTTAATGATGTGGGGTTTTTTTTTTCTTTTTGAAGTCTGTTGCAGTTGAAAGTGTCTGTTTTGTATGGCTGGTTCTAAAAACTTGTCTTATCCCCCCAGATGCTGCATTCTGATAAAAATGTGCAGGACAGGGGACTGGTAGTTGTGGATCCAAAGGCAAAGGATATTATACTGGAACACAGAAGTTATTGCTCTAAGAAGATGAAGGAAAGACATTTCTCGGGAAATGTTCTGGGATATATTACTCCTGTAAGTTAATAAAATGAATAAAATTGGTGCTTTGAATGAATATGCGGCAGACTGTGCTAATCTGCTATCTTGCATCCCTGCTTTTTGTAATAATGGGAACTTCTGGTCAAATAGAGTCAAATAGCCAGAGGATTATTTGAGAGCTGGCTTGGGATTCAAGTAGTCTCAAACACTCGTTCTTCCAGCCATCTCTTGGAGGATGTTTAGGTCATACTGGTTTTCTTCTCACTGGTAGAAGAGAGCTGATGGTATTCTTTTGTCCTTGATAAGCCACGTGAAATTGCAGTAAAGTCAGAACAGGAGGGCTACTAAGTGTCCTCATACTATGCAGCTACCAACTTGAACCTTCTAAATAAACAGTAAAAATTTTATGCTGCTGTCAAACTGATCTCTCTTGCTATCCAGTCTTACTATTATTCAGAACATCCTTTCTTGAATAATAAATGTTTCTTCCTTTTTTTTAGAGGATGCTTCTCACTTGTTTCAGGCTTAGACTGCTCAAAAGAGAAATAGGTGCCATATAAATTTTCACCTTTCTCAAGTTCTCTTGAACATTTTATGTTCAAAACTGAGTTGGAATCTACATGCAAATTCATGTAGTTCAGGTGAATTTGCACAGTTTAAAGATTGCCTTTCATGTAGCTATCAGAGTTTCCAGAGTACTTTCTTATTTAAATAAAAATCAAGTCCCAGAAGGTTTCCTCAGACTAACGAATGGGGATCTAGCAAATGATTGCATTTGTGTAAAAGAATTTATATGTATTTAGTCAAAAGTAAAGTGAACCATAAATATTCTGTTTGAGCCTCTCACTTTTTTTCTCTTTTCTTTTGCAAGTGGAACAGCCATGGCTATGACATTGCTAAAATATTTGGAAACAAATTTACACTAATCTCACCAGTCTGGTTACAAGTGAAAAGGAGAGGGAAGGAAAGGTTCCAGTTCACTGGGCTCCATGATGCTGATAAAGGTGTTACTTTCTTTTTCTTTGGCTATGCATTGCAAGTAAGATTACCGGTCTTGTTGCAGACAAGGTAGCTTTGGCAATATATGCATGTGGGTTTTTCTGGCTCTGCTTTATGGTGTGCAGTACTTTTCATCTGTTCTATTTTGGGGGGAGTTTTCTTTAGAGTGAACTTCTTTCTGTCCCCACCTGCTTCCACATGTATACATAGTTTATCTGTCCAAAGAATAAGTGGGAAGCTCTTCCACCAGGCTGTCTACAAAGCCCCTCTTAAAAACAAACAAACAAAAAAACCCCCAACCCAAACAAACAAAAAACACCCCCCAAAAAACAGGAAGGGACAAAGAATCTGTAACTGCAGAAATGGTGTTTGCACTGTTCAGTTGTTTACCCATTGTGGGTTTTTTCCCCTTTGCAAAAGCATTTGGGTGGATTTGGTTTGGGAATGGAAGAAAAATTTAATCCTAAGAGAATTTTTTCCTTTGCTGTCAAGAAACTGGGTGCAAGTTCAGATTTCCTCTGGTATGTTCTTAAATAATAACTAAGTAGTTTATTGTTTTGAAGTTGATTGAATGTGGAATCTCATTTGAAACCGCTATAATTCTTACCATGTTGGTGCCTACTAACAAATTCGTTCTAGTGCATTGATGCCAAGAGGAGTGGATGGGACACTTGAAAGTGCCATCTTAAAACAAAACAAAACAAAAAAAAACCACCACCCAAAACCCAAACCAAACAACAACAAGAAACAAAACCAAACCACCACCACCAAACTCCTCCCAGGTGATGCTTGATGACTACAGTTTCCATGATGAGGCAGAACTGTAAGCAGCAGGGAGGGGTTGCGTAGGGACTACTGTAAGATTGTAGTAGATGCTAGTTATGCTGTGGTGGAGGTGAATAGCTTTGAATTTGGTGCATCAGAGGATGTTTCATCTGTGTTGGTTATGAACTAGTAGTCTGCAGCAGGAAGACAGGTATAATAAAACTATGCTACATTATTTGAAGAATGCTTGAAAACATGTTGTCATTGTCAACATCATTTATATTTTAACAGTTGTTCTCTGACTTGATATTGTTTGACAGGCTGGATGAAAGATGTCAGAAAAACCTCCAAAACCATCAAAATAGGTGAGCCTCAGTTTTATGTATGTTCGTCTTTTAACTGCTGGGAGAGTGAAAGAAGGCTTTGTTCAAGGTTTATGTGGGAGAAAGGGAGGTTAGCTTAGCATAGCTGTATGAAGGAAGAAGTCTGAGAAGAAAAATAAAAGCAGTTAACTATAGATAAAAAGCAGTTAACTGTAGGTAGTTAAGTAACTCAAGTGTTGATCCTGTTGGTGCCCTAATGTTTTGCCTTAACTTCATGTCTCTGGACAAACCCTGGATCACTGGGCCCCTTCTGTTTGAACTTGTTGCTCAGAGGTTCTGCTTAGTTAAAAAGAAAAAAAAAATAATCCAAATCTGAGTCAGTCAAACTTTCCTGCATGACAGTAGGGAAGTCCTCCTTTGGCTGTTCTCCCCTTGAAGCTGGAAACTTGGTGGATGTGCCATGGTGTGTCTCTAGGGAAAATGTCAAACATTGCTATAGAGATAATATTGTGCTAGACTTCTTACATTTGTCTATGGCAAGAATTCTGTGGAACTGTGAAGCCCTTTGTCCTGGTTTTGGCTGGGATAGAGTTGATTTTCTTCCTAGAAGCTGACATAGTGCTGTGTTTTGGATTTAGTGTGAGACTGATGTTGATAACTCACTGGTGGTTTAGTTGTTGCTAAGTAGTGTTTATACTAGTCAAGTACTTTTCAGCTTCCCATGCTCTGCCAGGTGCACAAGAAGCTGGGAGGGGGCACAGCCAGGACAGCTGACCCCAACTGGCCAAAGGGCTATTCCATACCATGTGATGTCATGCTCAGTGTATATAAACTGGGGAGAGTTGGGCAGGGGAGTGATCACTGCTCAGGAACTGGTTGGTGGGTGGTCAGCAATTGCATTGTGCACTTGTTTTGTTTATGTTTATTATTTTTATTTTCCCTTCCTTTTCTGTCCTATTAAACTGTCTTTATTCCAACCCATGAATTTTACTTCCCCCGTCTCCCCTACCCCCGATTCTGTCCCCCATCCTACTGGGGAGGTGGGGAGTGAGCGAATGGCTGTGTGGTGTTTAGCTGCCTGCTGGGTTAAATCACAACACCCTTCTTGATTGAGAAGGGAGAATGAAACTTGAAATGCATTAGAAAAATTGAGTGCTCAGTCAGATATTTTAAATTACTTCATCTGCCAGATAATAAAGCCTTTAAAATCTCTCTAGACTCTTCTAAAATACTCTTTTACATCCTTGGTAGTTAGAAAGGGCTTAGATGCAGCTTTGTATGAGTTGTTGGCTTTTTCCAGTGTGCATGACTGTTGACTGTTGCAACAGTTTTCCTGACTCTTGTCTGACTGCTTTTTTAATGTTTTGTGTTGGGAGAAAAAGAAATTGTGAACTCAAGTGCCCATATTTTCCAAAATAAAAATTTGTCCTAGGGCCTTGAGGTGAGTAGAAAAGTGAAGTAATACAGGGCTGTGTACAAAAAAAAAAAAAAAAAAAATAAAAAATCAGAGTTTGGGGTGAGCCTTCCTATCTTGTTCTTGTGGTAGAAGAGGTGCACAACTTACAGAAAGATTGCTGTTTCATGGTGGTGTTCTTTTAAGACTCTACTTGGGGCCCTAGGTGATAGTTCAATCAAGTGAAGGTATCTTTTCTTAAAACTTGCATCAGTGCTGACCTTTAACTAAACATAAAATGAAGAATGTTCTACAGTGTCAATTTATCTATGCTGCTAAAGTTGGTCAGAGTAAAAAAGCAATTATCTTAGTCATGGGATATGTTGTTTAGTGGCTTCTCTGCTTGCATCTGCTGTATTCTGTTTCTGCAGAAATATTCCAGTGCAGATAAAACACTTAATTTTCATTACTAATTGACAACTTCGCTTGATAGTGCCTCGAATTTTGTTTGATGGCTGGACTTACCAGGACTTCGAGAGTGTTTTTGGCAGTGAGGATGAGATAGAGGAGCTCTCCAAGAACATGGTTCAGCTAGCCAAGGTAAAAAGATTTTTTTTGTTAATGCTTATTAAATAGCGTGAGATGATATTTGATTCCTTTAGTGTAATGGGTGTTTTCTCATTTCCAGTAGTTTTATATTCTACCAGATAAAATTCTGCTCAAAAGAATGAGGCAGGGTTCTTAATAGTGTGTCTTAGTATGTGCCCAACTCCTGTAAATACGAAGTATAGCAACACTTAAGTGCAGTTAACTACAAGTCTAAAGTGAGACTACATAAGTCTGATCAACACAATGTTGTTAAGTTATTGTTGGCAGCTGCACTGGTGACTCTTGCCTGCTATAAATTGTGATTGATAAACCCTGTTCCAAACAGCTGACAGGCTGAACGTTACTGAGGCAATAGGGGGTACCTGATAAACTTCTCATGGAGGTTGCCTAGTGGGCAGACTGCTTGCTTTTAAATTTCTATTTAAAAAAAAATAAAATCTATTAAGCCGGGGCTGAACTGGTTTAGTGGCGGTTTTTGAAAGGCAGAAAAAGGGTCATGTGTGCAATGAGTGCCGTTTTCTGTGTTACAGGAGTACATTCGGGATCAGTGTGCTAGAGCTAATGAGCCACTTTTAATACCAAGAATAGCTCACTAGATATCTGTTACTGTACAGTTTTGCTTGGCTCTGAACCAGTTTCCTTAAAATGTTAAGAGGCTGGGGAGAGGAGAAGAGGATTTCCTTTTAAGGAATGGTTACTGTTTGCTAAGGTTTTCTGGGCAGTCCCTTAGTAAGGCTTTAGAGCTATGCATATGCAGGGCTAGGCAAGTTGTATGCAAAAGACATTCAACTTTAGTTGATTCATGACAGCTTGCTTAATTACTGTCAGAATAAGTTTTCTCACTTGCTAAATGATGTAAAGAAATCTTAATGTGCTCTAGAGGAAGATGGATGTAGAGGTAAACTGAATAGTTTCTTAAAATTTGTAACCGATACATGAGTTTTAGGTCCTCAGTAACAGTTGGCCTGTTAAGGAAGGTGTACTCAAGTGCAACAGTATCCTTGATCATGCTAAACATAAATTATCACAAGTGAGATTAATTGTGGGCGATGTTTGGAATCATGCCTATGCCAAGTTAGCATTTACATGTTTGGACTCAAGAGCTCATGCAGTTTTTTCCCCAATACACATGTAAATGTGTATCAAATGATTTGCCTAACAACCATCTTTTGTCAATGGCTGAATTTTCCCAATCCAATACTGGTTTATCCTGTAAGAGTAGAAGTTGTGGATAGCTGTTAGAGACTTTCAACTTTTGCATGTTTGTTAAATAATCTGTGCTCCTCTGACTTCTTCATGAAGAAATGCTGCATTAAAGGTGAAGCTGAGGTAAGAATACAAGCATGTTCAATCTGTAAAAGTACAAGAAAAACTACAGTAATTATGTGCTTTCATACTGTATTATCATCTGATACAAACATAATGAATAAGTGTGGTGATTGACTGTATATTGTCGATTCCCTTTGTTTAGAATGAAAATTTTGATGGTTTTGTAGTTGAAGTTTGGAGTCAGCTGGGAAATCAAAAGCAAACGTGAGTATAAGTCTCTAGGATGCAATTCCTAAAAATCTGTTCTTTTAAAGCATCTTTTTAATTTCTCCATGTTGATTTGAATTTGTCATTATAAATAAATGCACTTCATTGTAGGACAACTGAAGATTGTTCCACTTATCTTAGAATGAAGCGTCTACGTGAGCTCAGATTACATAATAATCTTCATAGTGGACCTCACAGACCACATTAGCCTTTCACACTTGAGTTCTGCCAGATGTTACTGTTGTACAAGGGTGAAGAGGGTACCTCAATTGCATGCTTACTCAGATGTTGGCACTGGCCCTTAGTGGTTTGGGTTGCTGGATGAAGCTTGGAAGTGTGGGATGCTTTCAAGACCACCAAATTTGAGTTGATTAGGAAACCTTCCAAACCTTTAAATAGAGAGCTTTTAGATGTACTGAAACTAAAACTAAAATCCCCAATGTGAAGCAAATCTAGGGAGAAACTGGTTTCCGGTTCTTGCAAACACAGTGTATTTTAAACTTTGGAGTAGTTGATCTACCTTTTGGTAGCTCCGCTATGAAGTTTCAGCGAGTCTGCATTTATTGTAGCTGCTGAACTAAAGGGCTTATCCATATTAAGCTGTTCCCTGACATATTCTAATCTGTTTTCCTTGAGCAAAAACCCCTTGGCTGTTTTAACACCTTGGACAGAGTCAGGGTAGGGCAAGCTCCAAACTGCTGCTTCAGAAGGAAAAGGCAGAACGCGTGCTGAAATGAACAATTCTGTGCAGCAATCTAAAGATTTTGTGGTAGTTCCCTCAGGAAATTCACGCATCCATTCCCTAAAGCACAGTATTCCTACCAGCTCTTTATTGCCTAAAATGTTTGGGGGAAAATAGCTTCAAAGAAAGCTCCGCAGAATGCAGATGTCATTATGGGAGGCTTTCACCTTTCAAAAATGGTTACTTCAGGTTATTCTGTTTAGGGCGAGTGTTGTTGACTGAGGGCATATAATAGTTACTTCTGGAACTGAGTATGCTGTTAACGGAGTTCTATAAAATCCTATAAATCCCTATAAAATCAACACTTGGGAAACTGCAGAATCTTTGTAGCCTTGTTAGGGTCTCCACCATTTGCACTGGAATGAATAATCCTTAAGCTACATGCTGTTGCTCATAGTTAGGTAATTTGCCAGGTTGTTCCTAAGAATGGATCTCTATATTGAGCTGTGAATCTATTGCAATGTCTTAATAAGACAATGAAGAAGGTGATTTAAGTCATTAGTAACTGCCAGCCAGAAGTTGGGTGTAGTGGTCAGTTTATCTACTGTGCTTACTGTATTTCAGTAAAATTGATGCTTTTCCTATTAATTAACTTACAAATGTAGGACAGAGATTGCTGTAGTTTTAAGACTAGCTGAAGGCCAATTTAAGCACACTAACATCGGACTGCTGTATTGCAAATGACACACCTGAACAAAGCACACTTTTTTATTCGCTCCAGGGTGAGTTTGCTCGTGGCACGGTAAAAATGTTACTCTTGGCTAGGAGTAGTGCTGGTTCAAAACAGCATTGCTTGTCCCATCTCGTGTGCTAAGAACTGTTTGTACTAGAGGAGGTGCTGCTGTGTAGTTGCTCTAGCCCTTGGTACCTAAGTGTTATTTAGGCAAAGGACCACTTACAAATTCACTGTCTGTTATTGATAGATAGGAGTGGGGAAGTATTTTCTATAACTTCAGAGAAAGAAAGGGTTATTCTCATAGAATAGAATGGTAACTGCCTCGTTTGCTCAGTCAGTCATGTTTGATCAATGTGGCCACTCGTGAGCAAGACTTTAGGATTATTCTTACTAAAAATGTGAAAGATTATGTTTGGCAGAAGAACATTAATAGAAACAAAAGTTATGAACTGCACATTTTCCTCCTCTTTGAGACCAGTTTTGATTTAAGTGCTTCATCCTTTTTTTTTTTTTTCCTCCCTTTATTATCATTCCCCTAGAAATGGTTAGGGTGTTTAAGTCGCAAAAATACCTTGTGTTGGGCTTGCCTCCTCAGAGATGAGCATTCTGAAGAAGGGTAATCTGGGCAGCAAGCTGAAGCTAAGCTTGTGTGTGAAATAATGGTTGTTTTGTGAAAGTAGAAGCACATCATTACATTAAAATTTTGTCTTATGATGCTTGTAAGTTATGGGACCAGTGTCTTCATTTTGAGATTAAGTCAATTTGCCTATCGCTTAGTCTAAAATGGGGTGGCTTGGGTATCCAGTGCCTGGAGTGAACAGGTGCTTTGCACAGAACTTAAAGGGCAGAATTAAGTGAACTTGGCAAGCCTGTATTTTAATTGAACATTGAGTGCTGTTACTTTGGGTTCGGTTAGTTTCCTTCTGATTAGCAGAGCAGAGTTATTCCTGATAAATGGGTGAGCATGGATGGTCGTCTTGTCCCTGCCAGAAAAGAACTGGAGCAGCCCGTGACCTCTTCAGCCCACAGAGTGGCAGTATTGTAACATGATTCATACCCAATCTTCCTTGTCAGACTCTTGTCTTTCGAAAGTTACAAACGCCAGTAGTAAAGCAGGTTCTTAACCTTGGAAGGGTGGGGGTCAGTTGACAGGTAGGCGTCAACACAGAGATGACCCTAATCCTTTGGTGATATGGAGCATTCACAGAACAGCAATTGTGTGTGCTCCTGTAAAGCATCTGTATTGACTATTAGGTACATAGTGTGTACGCTTTCCTGATTCAGACCCTTCAAGGTCAAACACCTGAAAGTAGCTTAACCTACTTTAGGTAAAGGAACCAAAGATCATAATGATGCTCCTAAGAACAGATAGTTTTCCTTGAAATTACTTTCAGAGCTGTCTGACAATACAAGGAGACTTGCATAGCTAATACAATTTATTCCAATTATTTAGTGTAAACATGTTTTGGTTTAAAAAGAAAACAAAAAATCAGATTTTTTTTTTCCTGAAATACAAGGAAAGCAGTTAGCAAGAGGTTATTGAGACTCAATGCATGTGCATAAAACTATATGGGGATATGCTGCAGCAGCCAGCTTGCCTTATAAAATGACAGCAGTGGTAAGGATCTAAGAAAGAAATATTTCACTTAAAATCATTATAGTTTTCATTTTTCAAAACCTAAAGTAAGTGGACACCTAGCTGTTAAATTAATAAATAATACAATGGAACTCAATTATTCTAGTGCATCCTTTCCTGTATCTGTGTTGAGGGGAAAGCTGTGGAAATTATTCCTGTTATTTTTTTAATAGTATTATGGGAAAGATCCACGATCCCATCCCCTGCACTACCTTAGTGGTGCAGTAACACTTAATATAGCACAGGTTTCCTTTCCTTTCCACAGACTTAAAATGACTGGAGACTGGGATTTGCTTATGGACGTTTGTGCTTGATCTGATGTTTCAGCTACAAAATCAGCATCCACTCTCTAAAGACAATGTGCAGTGATACTTTTTAGCAGAGTGTACCAATATTTCTTGAGGCAGGTGAGTTTGCAAAAGAATCTGAAACCCTGCAAATTAGTGTCCTAACTCACTAATAAATTGGGTTATGATTTAAACACTACTTCATATATTAGAAAGCTGGATTAATTGCAGCTGACACTCTTCTCAGTAGACCTCAGCTGAGCAAGTGTCCTCATGAGATACCTTTTTTCGATAGCTGAATGTGAATTTTGGTTGGATTAAAGAGGCATGATGACATCTTCATAACACATGCTCTTCCCATGGTCTTGATGTTGGGGCTTGAAGCACTGAATTGCTTAAATACATCATGACAATTGAATTTTCTAACTATCTCCATGTAACAGCCTAACAGCGTTAGCTCTGTGCAAAGCTTCTGTAACCCATAAATCCTGTGACACTGAGGCAAATTTAGACACATCTCTCTCAACCCTTTGCATGTTTCTAGAAAATCTTGATTTTTTGGGGGGAGGGCGTTAGTCACTTCAACAATATAAATGAATGAAAATTCTTCTTGCAAGGCCTGAGGAGTTATCTAAAAAGAGCCACCATTTTTTCTTATTTATCCTAGTTGGCATTACAGATGAGGTGAAATGTTGCTATATTGCTGGCATCCACTAAGACATGAAATCCTGTGGTTTCAGGCTCACCATGTATCTTCTGGTTTAAATCTTAAGCAGAACTAACTTAATCTGGTTTTGTTTGTTTTCAAGAACAACAGATTTTCTAATCATTCTGGTTTGGGGTTAGGATTGCTCTGTAATGTTCAGCAGACTAAAGTCTTAAAGTACATCAATCCTTTGTGTTGCAGGAAAGCATATTGCATATTCATTTAAATGTTGATCTTACCAACAGTATAAATTTTATGTAAGAGAATTATGTGCCTAAATATAGCTGCCTGGTTTCAAGTTAGATATCCTAAGCAACCTGGTCTCTGGTTGTTCACGTAGGGTCCGAAGACGCCTCGAGTCTCACACAGCAATCCTGTATGCATGCTTTGTATACCACTGGATGTATAAAATGGTATTAGGTTCTTATATTTAGATGCCTAAATACCACCCATTATATCTGAAGAACCCAAATTACCTTGATATGTGTGTGTGGGCCTAAGTTTTAGGGGATTTATACTGATCAGTTCAGGCTCCTGTAGGTGTCTAATACACATACTTCAAAGTACCCTCTATAGTACTGTACCTACTTCTTTCCTGTGATTTCTGGTAATAGAACTATTGATATACAAATCACAGTGAGGTCAAATTTAATGTGAGATGAAAGACTGCATCTGATGCTGCCTCCTCTCATGCTGACAACCATTGCACAGTGGAAAAGTATTCAGCTTCCCATCTTTTATTCTAACGCATAGGGAATTAGTCTCCGAGCAAAAATCGAAATCAGCCAAGATAATCCTGTGCAGATGGTAACTCAATTCTAATGTGTTTTGCTGATTCTTATAGTTTAAACCTGCTTCTTAATTAAGTAACTGTCTTTTAGATAAAACTTTCTTGACTGAGTTTGCAATAAAATATTCCAAGTTATTCATCCTGTGGCATTTAAGTTTAGAAATGTACATGGCAGAAATATTGGGATAACTGAGCAAGCAAAGGTTCTCCTCCTTAGTTAGCAGCTATACAGGACAATGTCTCTCTTGCTATTATCACTTGTGGGTTTATTGGGTGGTTTTTTTTCTCCAGAGACCTGGATCATGTTGTGAAAAAGGCATGAATGTACCCATCAGAATCTCACAGCATCCATAAAAGTGCAGATTATTCTGATCAGTCTGGCATTAGCTGACAGGTGGCACTGCCATCACACAGAACCAATCTGAAAAATGTGATTTTTTTTTTTTTTTTTTTTTTTTTTTTTGTCACCATGTGCTGCAGGCACTTGGTATCATGCAGAAGATGACCTTCAGGCATTTTATTAATGTTGGTAGGAATATAGGAGCAAAAAGCTCTTTTGGCAGTTCTATACTTTATGTTAGTCCCTGAAAAATTAATCTATTAATAAAAGATTTGCCATAATTCACTCCAATTTCTTGGTATTAACTAGGCAATGAAATGGCACAAAAGGGCAATTTCTTCTTGAAGTAGACAGCTTTATTCTGTCCAATTTTCTTGACAAGGTATAAATTTTAGGGAATACTGACTACCAACTTGTGCAAAAAAGTGTGTGAAGGTGGAAAGTTGCAGAGTTCTGAAGGGTCACATAACTGAAGGGAAGGATATAACAGCCTTATGTGTTTTCTGCAAGGCTTTTTCAATTACACCTGCAGCCCACTCTTGTGCACTGAAGTGAACTGTACTACAAAGTGTCCGAAACACAATAGACTAACAATGCTAGAAAAAGTGAGTTCTGAAAAAATAAGCTTCTCTCAAACTTTGGATGTTGAAATTTTGGAGGTCTGCATACTTTATAAGGGGACAAGATACTTAAAAATCATGAACACTTGGAAAATTGACCTACAAAATGGTAGTGATAATAAAAGTCCTGAAAAGGTAGGAATGAAGTAGACTTTAATTAGCTCAGGATAGAGTCTTAAAGCTGCCAATGTTTTAGTAGCTACTCTGAAGTTAAATTTGACAATTTTGAAGTCTCTGGTAAATATTTAATGAAGCCTTTTCAGGGAGACTGATTCTATTCCTACTTTCCTGCACCTCATTATAATGTTTAAAATGTCAGTAACTTTTCTCTCAAAATTACCAGTGGTAATATGGGAGAATATTGTGTTTATAACACTGGAAAGCACTGTTGGGACATAGTAAAGTTTTAATTTATAGCACACAATAAATGAGCATTCTGCTATTGCTGTTGGGGGAGAGGGGAAAAGTGCACATTTGATTTGTATAATCTGTCTTGGCTGACAAATAGAAGGGAGCCTAAATTAAGTCTTTAACCATTAATCCTGTCTGATTTGCTAAAAAGTTTTCAGGTCCCAGAGATCTGGCTTGACAGATTAGTGAGTAGATGTTAATCTGGGTTTCTTGAGCAAGAATCTGCTTTTCTTCTTGACCTCTTCCAAGTTGAAGCTAATTAGTTTTTGGCCAGAGCTATGCTGCTTGGATCTGGTGGTGGGACGAGAGGGAGTGGCTGTTTTGATGGAGTCTGTTTTTAGTTAGTCCTGTCTGCTAGCTGCAAAATAAAACCAGCATTCCAAACTGCACTCCTGCCCATTTATCAGGCCAGAATTCTCTGTCCTTCATTTACAGTTGTAGGTTGTGGTTCTGTGCTGTATGCCTTTCTAGTTTTAAAATATCACTGTTTTTGTGGATACATTTTTACCTCTGCTGGTTAACTGCCAGTGTCTGACATTGTGCCGAGGGAGGGGGAAACCTTGAATTCAATATTCATTGATTCCCCCCCGCATCTGATTCAAAATAATCCCAATTGCTTTTCTTATGCTTCAAAGCATTGCTACCTGGATAGCAAAATTTTAGGAGCTGAGGCAGATACATGAAGATGCAGAGTGGGAGCGAGGGTGTTGACCTTGTTTCTAAATGAAAGAGATGTCCTCTTGCTCTGCACCGATGTTAGGTTCTTTTGTCCTATTTTGCCCCGCCTTCTATCCCCTCACCTTCTAAATAATTAAATTAAAGTCAATAATTGTTTTGCATGGTGTAGAGGTCTCAGAAGTTCCTACAGCTAACAAAGGCAGCCAGGCAGGAAAGAGAGATCGCTGATGAATATGGTAGAATAACCTCAAAGACAAAGGAATTGTTTGATCAAATTTGTCTTATATGTAGCATCTCTGACATCTAATAAAGGGTGCACCTATACTGCAGATTGGGCATAATTAGTTAAAAAGGTCACTTAGTCATCAGACTGAAATCAGTAGGAAAGAAGGCTTAGCTAGTTTTAATACTGATTGTATTTTTTATAAGATTGTCATGTGGGAGCTGTGATATGTATGTTGGAGTCAATAAATGTCTGTTCAATTTAGTGTTGTAATTTTTTAATGTGTTCCTACGGAAGAGGATTTTTCTTTGCTCTAATTGATTTGTCTAAATAGTGACACTCTTAATGTGGAATGCATATGATAAGGAAATGGGAGGGAAAGCTGTTACTTTCCCAGAGCAAGAATGGTAGAAGTACACGCTGCAGACAGACTGAAAGCTGATTCCTGTAATCTCATGTTTCCCCCTAGAACAGAAATATAGGTGGCAGTGTGACAGTTCATTGTCAAGAGCTGTTCAGCACAGCCAGCTCCCAAATTGTAAGCACAAAATACTGATGGTATTGGGAAAGTGATAAAACTTGCTTTGTTTGTTTGCCAGGATTTTGAGAGTAATGGCTTTTATAGAGTTCTTAGGAAGTTTTCATCAGGCATCAAATCATTTCAGGGAAAATGAAAATACTTTGTTACCTTTGGATAGTGTCTACACTGTGCAAGTCAAGCATCATTACTGTGATGAATAATTATATTGGAAGATCAAGGATTTCAGAAGAATATCTCTAGGATTATACTGCCTCGAAAGGCATGATAGTACCAAAAGTTTCTGAGAGTTCAGGCCTAATCCAGTTTCAGTGGAGCAAACAACTTGGATGATCACCTGTGCATATCCTGCCTTTACTGCTTTAGCACTTTTAGCCTGTTGGAATGGGTCATGAAATTGATTTCTACTCAGTTTGGATTTAAGCATAGTTCTGAACAGATCTAGAATTCTGTGCTAATATCTGTCTTCTGTAGATCCACCCTGCCAGTGGGTAAATATGAAAGTTGACTTTGTTCTGAAAAATCAAATGACTTAAGGAAGGCACACAGAAGGGGTTTATAGTGCTAATTGAAGGTAATATTGGACTCCTCTTAAGACAACAATAGCCATTAAACTTTTTTGTTTCTTCAGTCTGTCTCTGAATGATTTTCTATTAACATCACCCTTTAAATGAAGAAGACTAAAACCTGTTTACCTGAGAATTGAGTTTATTTTCCTATTGAAATGTTTAGAATATGGATATGAAAATCAGCTTTTGGGAGTCTTTAAATGATGCACATGAAAGGTGATACTTCCAGATATGACATTGTCAGACATTTATTTTGTAGCTATCCAGTAATGTATTAAGAAACAAAAGGTTCATTTATACAGCAAAAAACCAGCAGCAGAAATGCTTCTAAATACAGGCCTGAAGTATCCCTTGAAGACTGCATGTCTTGCTGTGAAAGCATCTTTACAAATTCTCAGACCTCATGTAGTAAGAGTGGCAACTTGAATCCATTCCACAGCTGCTGCTTTCAGAACAGTGTTTGGTTCTTCTATTGATCTAATTCTGTTTACTGAATATGACTTCAAGAGGTGTCCTGCTCTAATAAGATGTGCTGGTTTTGCATGCTAACAATGCATAGTTAGATTAAAATAAAATGAGGAAATGTTTTAGCCCCAAGGTGATCACCAGTTCCAATAAAACTAAGACAGTCTCCAGCAGTTCAGTGTTCTTACTCCTGGAAGAGAGTAAACCTCTGATCAGTCTTCCTAATATTTTTTTCTTTTTTTGCTATGGTCATTCACTGCAAACTGTGTTTGGATCTCTTGCCAGCTGCATCTTTTCTATTATTTCTACTGTTACTTGTCAACTTGCTCTTGCCAATATATAGCACCAGTTTTACTACATTTCCCTCTAACAATATGTTTGTATTTCAGGGAGTTGATTCATTTGCTCATTCACCTTTCGGAAGCTCTGCATGAAGCACAACTTAAACTCATACTGGTCATCCCTCCTGCAGTTGCAGCGGGGTGAGTATTCTTATTTAGATGGCAGGTTCCAGATCAGAAATACTTTCCTGTCTGATGTACAATAAATGCAAAGCTTTGTTTATAGCTATGCGGTTTAAATGAATAAGAAATTATTTGAGTTTGATTGGTAGTCCTGTTATCATGCATGTTGCACTGAATAGTCTTAGTAGCTATGTGCAATTCATATATAGTTCGTCAAAATAACTTGCAGAGGGACCTTCTATGATGGTGTTAACCCAAAATGTCTGGTAATAACGTCCAGGAGAACAAGAGCAGAAACAGTTGTGGAGCTTAATGACTTCTTGCCAAGGAGTAGAAAGGGCGTCATAAAGGTAGCATATAAAAACTTTCTGAGCCTCTGGGCACAGTTTCAGCTATGATAGATAATAGTTATTCTTTAAACAAGAAAAACACAACTATGGGACGGAATTATATCTGTAATAGGGCTATGGGTTTTTAAAATTATTTATTTTGACTTGATAGTTCATATGTACAGAAAAATGCATTTAATAATTTAAAATTGTTGATGATTCGGTTTGTTTGTGCAATGATTTGAATCTGATGAATGTACCAGTTCATATGCTCTTCTGGCTCAGTTAGCAGTACTTTTCTTTCAGTGTTTATAGCAGAGAGATATCTACTTTCTAAGACTGTATTTGTTGAAAAAACAAACCCATGTGGAAAATGAGAATGAAACTTCATTATATGTGGAAGGAATTTGAATCCTCTTTAAGTTGTTACAGTTTTATGAAAAGATTCTACATTGTCTTTAAGTGACATATAATAAAGCTGAAAAAAAAATCAGTTTTACTAGATATCTAGTCTTTTTCTGGGAAGTCTTCTCTCTTGTGTGTCATTTATTCCAATCTTTCATACTGCCTTCTTATGATCTACATTTCATCCCAACTGATAGCAATTTTCTCTTGCTATTAATTGTAGTCTATTACAGATAAAGGAGAACACTTTAAAACATTATTCTAAAATGCTTTATCAGTCATTTCATCACACAGATTATTTTTAAAATGCTAATGCATGCTCTCGTAGAATTTAAGTAATTGCTGTGAACAGTGTTCACGTTAAAGTGCCTTTGTTCCATTTGGTGATGGGGAGAAAGGGGAGAATAGTACAAACC